CGAATTCTGCCGGGATCACCACCTTTGTACCATATGTGAGGTTAAAGGGGGTCTCACTCGTCGCTGTCTTGATGGTTGTCTGGTAGGCCCAAAGAATGCTGGGTAGCTCGTCCACCCACAAACCTTTAGCGCGTGCGAGATGAGCTTTCAGTTCGCGGAGGATAGCCCTGTTTGTTACTTCGGCTTGCCCGTTTTCTTGTGGTTGTGCTACCGAAGTGAAGTTTCGCTGAATCCCCATCTCAGCACACCAATTATGGAATTTAATATCTTCAAATTGCTTCTCGTTATCCAAAATCAAGATTTTGAGAAGTCCAAAATGGCATACGATGTCTTTCCAAAAGAAATTTTGCACGTTTCTAGGCTGTAATGCTTACTAACGGTTCAACTTCAACCCACTTCGTGAAGTAGTCTACCGCCACGACTAAGAACTTCCTCTGTCCAGTTGCCGGTGGAAATGGACCGAGGATGTCTATTCCCCACTGTGCAAAGGGCCATGGACTAGTAAGATACTTTAAATCGGTAGCAGGTTGATGAAGGATGTTGGCATGTCTTTGACATTTGTCGCATTTCTTGACGAGTTTGAGTGCATCTGCTTTCATTGTGGGCCAATAGTAGCCCTGCCTTAATGCCTTTTGGGCAAGGGCCCTACCCCCCAAGTGTCCTCCGCATAGACCTTCATGGATATTGCAAAGTACAAGTTCAGCTTCTATGAGTCGTAGGCAACGTAGGTAGGAGAGCGTGAATGATCTCTTGTACAACCATCCGTCTATGAGGACGTACCTGGCTGATTGTTGCTCTACCCTCCGAGTTGCATTGCGTTCTATAGGCAGGATCCCGTGGAGCAGATAATCCATGAGTGGGTCAATCCAACTCAATTCCGCTTGCAACATGGGAGCGACCTCTTCTGTCCCCTTGAGATTGCTGGGCCGAGGTAGGTCCTCTATTTACACAGTCCGCATGGTGTTGTCACTTGTACTTGCTAGTCATGACAAGGTGTCAGCCTCGTCATTCTCGGACCTCGGAATTTGTCTGATGAAGCAGGAGCGGAAGCTTGGTAGGATCTCTCTGACTCTGGTTAAGTAGGCTATCATGGTCGAGTCACGAGCTTCATAGTCACCATTGACTTGGTTAACTACCAATTGAGAATCACTGTAGACGATGAGGTGCTTTGTTCCCATCTCCTTTGCAAGGTTGAGCCTAGCAATTAGCACCTTATACTCTGCCTCATTGTTTGAGGCCTCGAATCCGAACCGGAGAGCATGTCTGAGAACTAGGTCTTTACAACCATGTCGTTAACGTAACACTCCACTTTATTGCCAATCAAAGGCTCAAAAATTTTATTTACAAGTCTTTGAAAGGTTGCTCCAGCGTTTTTCAAACCAAATGGCATAACTTTATAGCAGTATAGCCTTAGTTCGGTTACAAAGACAGTTTTGTCTTGGTCAGCCGTGTCCATCCTAATCTGATTATAGCCGGAGTAGGCATTCATGAAACTCAGCAACTCGTGCCCTGAGGTCGCATCTACTTGGCAGTCAATTCTGGGTAGGGGGAAGCAATCCTTTGGGCAGGCTCTGTTCAAGTCGGTGTAGTGAACGCACATGCGCCACTTGCCATTGACTTTCTTCATGAGCACCGGGTTTACGACCCAACTCGGGTAATGGACCTCTTTGATGAAGTCTGTAGCGAGGAGCTTCCCAACCTCCTCATCGACAATCCTCCACCGTTCTAAGGCGAGGTTGCATTTTCTTTGTCAGACTAGCCTAACTAAAGGGTCCACATTCAGTTTGTGAGTTATGACATAAGGGTCAATCCCGGGCATTTCTACCACAGACCAAGCAAAAATGTCTAAATTGTTAAGTAGAAAACTTACTAGTTGATTTTGATGTGGTTCGCTTACGAGTTCTCCAATCTAGAGAGTCTTAGTCGGTTCGGTCTCGAACACTAGTATGTGGATCGTCTCTTCCATCAGGGCAGCTCGCTCCTCGCTGTAGCCTGTCGGTCGCTCCAGTTCGACGTCCTTTGCTATCTTTGCTTTTCCTTTGAGAGAAGCCACATAACACCTCCGGGACTCGAGCTGGTCACCTCGTGCTATTCCCACTCCGCAATCCATTGGCAATTTCATCACGAGGTAGTAGGTCGACACTATTGCGCATAAAACATGTGTAATAGGCTGACCTATGATTGCGTTGTACGGGGATAGGGTAGTGACCAATAGGAATGTGTGCTCGAACCGGACAATATTTGGCCACGTGCCCGCTTCCACTGGTACTGTGACACGACCTATAGGCCTAACATCCTCTCCACTGAACCCAACTAGTGGATTGTCTACTGGCGTTAGGTCACTCTGTTGTAATTGTAGTTTGTCAAAGGTTTCCTTGAACAGGATATCAGCCGAACTTCTTGGGTCCACCAAGATCCACCTCACTTCAAAGTCATTGATGACCATCTTTACGATTAAGGCGCCGTCATGAGGATACTGGATCCCACAGACGTTGTCCTCAATAAAGTAGATCGGTTCTTTGATCCGAGGTCATTTGGGTGGGTTCTCTGCTTCGTGCTTTAGTTCTCATAATGATGTTCTCCTAGCTGCTACTGTGCATCCCGCCTCAATAGATCCCCTGTTGATCATATTAATCACTCTGTGGATCGGTCTCTCTTTTGGTAGCGGGTGAGGTGGCTGTTTGTTCTGTTTGCTACTCTTTGGGGCGTCGTTTTTCCGATCTCCCTATCAGTTTCCCTATTCCTTTTCTTCGTGTAGAATGTACTTTTTCAAGTACTCACAATGGATCAGCTCTTCAATCTCATCGCGGAGGTTTCTACAGTTTTATGTGCTATGACCATGGTCCCGATGAAAGTGACAATAGACATTCGGGTTCCTAGTCATTGGGTCTTTGCGGAGTCTGGGTGGCCATTTGACGAGAGGGGAATCCTTTATTGCCATTAAGATCTCTCATCGCTTTGCATTTAAGGGGGTATAGTTCGTCCTCTCCATTGGAGGGGTCCTGGAATGACGACCCGACCTGTAGCTTCGCGAGGGGGATTTGCTTCTATGCTTGGGGAGCTTACTTTTCTTTCTTTTATTTTCTTGTTGCTCCCGATTTTTCTGGTCCGATCCAGTTTTGAAAACCATGCAAATGATTATATATATAAGTACATGATATATAAAACAATATTCCTGGTGTTTGGAAGCGTGGGCGCTTTTTGGGACCGATTTTCAAGAAAAAATGCCCATACTTCCAAGACCCATTTCATAAAAGAACGTTTCTGCCACGTAGTCAGTGAGCAACACTATGTTGTTTGGTAAGGTGATTTTTGTCACCATTTTTCATGTATGTGCTGACAGGTAAACACCACATAGGATACACATCAGCCAACCATTGGGAGAAATGGTTCACCGAAATTTGGCGTTTCATGTATCGGTGGGGTACTGATTTTCGAGGTATACCTGATTTTTTAATAATCGGCTGAACCAAACAATGAGATACATGGGCATTTGTTGAAACGCATATGTGGATCCGACATAGTACCATATTTTTTTGAAAAATAGCTACGGTTCCAAACATCCCCCTGGTGTTTAATTAGTTTCCACATGCCCCATATTTGGAGGAAGAATTATTGGCTCTTAGGTCAGAGGAGTTTGTATCCGATCAAATGAATTTTGAATTGAAATTTAAGGTTTAGGATTTAAAATTTAGAAATTTTATATAAAAATCAAAAGATAGTCAGACACTTTCATCCGATCGATCATGGTAGGAACGAATATGTGTTCCATTGGGAGCCTTAAAGATGATTTATGCTGAATGTTAACTCCGCTAATAATCCGCTTAAAAGTTGAAACATGACTTCTAACGAAACAGGATTCTCATTACATTGAATTGTTAATGATGGATTAATCCATGTAAGATGGAACAAATCACAACCCCCATTGAGTGAGTTAAACCTAATAGATTTGAGGCTGTTGTATAGGTGATTTGTATATATTGCTTCGTTTGGTTGCAGTGCAGTTTTATTTGCACCAGTACAAAAGGACAGAAATGCAAATGACAAAATGAAGATTCTCACTTAACTTTGTTATTGCTTTTACTTTACTCTGCTTCATGTCTTAATATATTTCATCAGTATTATTTACACTCAAGTCATTACACTGTCATAGTTTTGCATCAGTATATAGCAACCAAATACGTACTTCCAACTTGGCATAAGTTCTGGGGCTTGGCAATAGCCATCAAAATTTTAATGGGACCAGATAAATCTCTGAAATTGGAATGCATTTTGAAGGTTGGACCTAACCAAACAGAAGGCGTGAGCTCAATCTTGCCAAAGGGGTTCGTGATCGGCCCAATTTCAGTTTTCCGGTAACCTTTAGATGGTCCACAAGGAAAGTGTCCAGTTGGGAGCAAGGATAAGTTACTTTTAATCAAGGTTTTTAAAACTGAATTGGACAATGAATCGGTCAGGGTCCGGTTCTTGGGTTGAATGGTTTGACCGTTCGAACTAAATGAATGGCTCATTTTAACAAAAAAAAATTAAAAAATTAAAAAATGGCTAAAGCCACTGAATGATCCGAATGGTTAGAACAATTTGACCACCTGGGTCAACAGTTTTCTGACCAAATCAACGATTTTTAGCAAATAACAATTCTAAAGTAAAACAAAACCGGTTAGCTGACCTGTTCCCAATTTTTCTGATTATCCGACCGTCCAGTCCGATATACTTGAATATATACTATAAAAGGAAAATCTGTAGTGCCAAAAGACATGATACCAAAGGTTCTGACCAATCAAAACTCCCTGTGAATTGTTAAATACCACGTGATTGATTACTCTATTTTATGAAACCAGTTGGCTGACAAGTTTTTCTGGTATCATTCTTCAGTATTATAGTAAAATTCATAGGGTTTTTGATTGGTCAAACTGTTCCAATATCATAGCTAGCCATCAAGTTGAAATTTTAAGCAATCCTCGCCCTCTGTTTAATGATATTGAAACATGGCCCCTCAAACCATTAGTAATGCTTTCATTGATGGAAGTTCAGAATTTAAGAAACAACTTAGAAGCTTCACTAAATTTTCATGTTCAAATTGAGAAAGAATAACCTCCTCTCATTGATGAACTGTTCAACTTCACTTGAATCAACTATCTTGGACTTCATAAAGACAACTATCTTTCTATTTATCAAATCCAACACAACCTAGGATTCAACTCTTACCAAAGTTGTCAGTCCTTGTTGAGCTCTTGTTCAGTAAAGATCTTGGCAGGTTCTACAGTTGCATTTTGTGAAGACTGAAGAGAGCAGTTGCCTCAATCAGAGACCCCCATTTTGCTGAATGTAATTTTCTCTGCATTTGTTTTGATTTCTCTTTTTTATTCCCCAATAGAGCCAAGTGCTAATAAATAGAACAAAGAAGACGCCAAAACCAAGCCCTGTATGAAAAGAAAGCTTTGCTTAGCGAAAAAAGAAAAATATGACTTTCATTCATTTCAACACATTCATCGTTATATGCAACAGGCTTTGCTTCAGTGGGCTTGAGCCCACTTTGTATTGGACTAAAATTGATAACATTAGTGAAACAATATGCTCATGAAGTAGGGTTGCAGTTCAGACTGGATTCCCTTAGCTAGGTTGAGATCAACGTTTGCCCAACTTGAAGTGTTGAAACCTCAACAGCCTGAGATTCTTCACCCTAACCCAACTCAATCATACTATCAGGTGGGTTAGGTTGGATTTAAGTTGGAATAGGAATGGCAGTGGGGCAGGTTCAGAGTGGGGATTATATTCCCTGTTTTCGAAATTGATCCCCGCTGAAGATAAAAGTTATTCTTCATCCTTGATTCCCAACATACGGGTTCTCTGTGGGGACCTGAATCCTTGAAATTTTTAATAAACAGTATTTTTTGAAAAATAAATTTATTTAAAATAAAAGAAAATTTTAAAATAAAATAATATTTAAATATATTTTAATATATATATATATATATAATATCATATACATAGGTATTTAATATTATGATAAATGTTTTAAAGAAAAACAGCAGTCATCCTCTCTCCTCCCTGAATTAGATAGACAAAAATACTTGGATGCATAGCGTAATTATCAGGTTTAGGTTGGCATGATTGCCCAAGGCATCAACTCTCTCCCGACATTACCCACTAGTTATCCCAGACCAACCCTATCGTATTTTTTGGGTTGACCTGACCAAAGTTGCAACCCGTAAATTCGAAAATATAAAAGAATTCAGAGAACAAATATGTTTCTATTGAAGAAGATTCAGAGAAAATATTAAATTGGAAGAAGTTATTAATTAAAAAGGAAATAAATTTGAATGATCAATTATATTTCACTTGAGTGAATGTTAAAATTAAGCTAGTATCTAGCTTGACAAAGGGAATAATTATCATGAGGAAATTATATATAGCCATGAGGAATTGCATCCGTTACTCTAACAGATAAGAACCATAACTCAGGCGGAGACGTTGGATTTATTTGACAGATAATAAGTTTACTCCTGGGCCGATTCGCCATCTACCCAGAGATCAAATTGATCTGAAAATTAATTTGAAGACAGACAGTAAATCGTAGATTTTAATACCTAAGCAGATTTGTATCAGATGAGATTGCTTCTTTGGAGTAGCCAAACAACCAGTCCCGTTTCTCCTACCATCCCCTTGAGCACCAGGCGGGCAAGAGCAGATGTAACTCCCAGGTGTATTAATGCATCTCGATTTGGCTTGACAATCGTTCTTAGTAGGATCCATGCATTCATCTATATCTGCATTCTTCACATAAACTCATCAGAATTGTTCAACACACTAGGTAATTGGGAGAAGTAATAAAAATAGTCGATCCAGAAAGATGATTAATTACGCACCTTGACATCCATCTGAGAGATAAGGGTTGCCCTGATAACCTTGAGAACAGTTGCAGAGATATCCGAGACCATTAGGAGAGTTGAAGCATTCGCTGTTCTTACCACATGCATAATTTAGGTCACTAGTGGAAGCATTTCCACAGGTGTATCCCTCTATCGCCCAGTCGAGCACGATTGGGACCATTCCTTCATTTCTATTAAAGAAATCCATATACCCCACAATATCATGTACTGAGAAGTTAAACCAGTCAGAATCAACCAAGAAAGCGTAGCTGCATGGATTGAAATCCATCACAAAGTTGTGTCTGTAAAAACTACCGAGATCCACAATGAAGTGCTTGAACCCCTTTGGGATGGAAGTCTGACAACAACCAATTCCGGAACAAGACCCATTGACCAAGCTCTGTGTGTCGATGCAAAGCATGTTACATCCGCTGGTGAAGTTACGACCCTGAAAACCTATTAAGTTGGATATGGTGTCGCAACCTATTGCCGTGAATTTGTTTCTGGTGTCGGAAAAAGTATAGGGAAAATCTTCAAGATTGAAAGAAATGGATCCGTGATCGTTTGTTTGATCGTAGCAGTCGTAACTTACTAAGGATTTGGTGCGCAATTGGCCCAGTGATGATATCTCTACAACCTCTACGTTACTGTCCGATAAGTACAGTTTTGGAGGGTTGGAAGTGTGGTTGCAGGTTACCATGTAGCCGTTTCTGTAACATTTTGGATCTCCGAAGCCGAACGGGTAGGGAATGGGGATGTTGCCACATTTATCCTCGCATCCTGGCTTTGCGAAGGACGCTGTTGATGAAGCTGCCAGCGGTGGCAACAGCAAAATAAGGAGCTGAAGCAGCAGAAATGGCAGTGCCATTGAGGCTTATTAGCTGCTCTTGTTTTGTTTATTTCAGTGTCTTCATTTGCGTCCCTCATTTATAGGCTCGACGAGGCAAATGTTGTATGCTTTCTAGATGAGATCCGGTCACCCGAATTTGATCCTATTAAGGGTGATATGATGAATTCGATCCATTTATAATTGGATCAAATACGGATCTATCCTATCCGATCCAATACAATCTAACTCAATTCGCAATTATATATATATATATGTATATATACTTAAATTAATTTATATTATATTTACCATTAATGTTGGTTTAAATGTTGTATTTTCACTAAATAGTCATAGTAGCTTTTTATATTCGTTTTGTTCTTAAAATATAATATTAAAATCATTTTTAATTCCTTTTGTTAATAATATATAACATTTTGATCATTATAGTTTAATTTAATTTATTTATACTATTTAATATCCCATTATAATCCAAATTCAATTTGAATTCGCTAGATTTTTTTTTAAATTAAAACAAATTAAGTTTGGATCTGCCCATATGTAATTCAGTACGATCCATTTGCAGCCCTACCAGAACGTATCTTAGGGGTCATTGTGTTAATGCTTGGGGTCACTCTCCCCTAACACATCTTGACTTCTAAGAGTAATAAATGCTGGTCTTTCTTTATTTACTTCTCCACTCGTCTTCCTTATTTGATTCATTCAAAGAAAGCAACATCCCCTAACAACTCACTATCTCATTGGGGTCATTTTTAATTCATTTTGTTAATAATATATAACATTTTGATCATTTTAGTTTAATTTATTTATACTATTTAATATCCTATTATAATCCAAAATTCAATTTGAATTCGCTAGATTTTTTTTTAAATTAAAAAAAATTAAATTTGGATCTGCCCATATGTAATTCAATACGATCCATTTGCAGCCCTACCAGAACGTATCTTAGGGGTCATTGTGTTCATGCTTGGGGTCACTCTCCCCTAACACATCTTGACTTCTAAGAGTAATAAATGATGGTGTTTCTTTATTTACTTCTCCACTCGTCTTCCTTATTTGATTCATTCAAAGAAAGCAACATCCCCTCACAACTCACTATCTCATTGGGGTAGTGTTTGGTATCGTGGCAATTTCAAGTGAGATATTGTGTATAAGAAATGGAAACACCATAAGAACGCCTTTTTGGTATTTTGAGTGAGACATTTTCTGTATATGTTTGGCATCCATGTTACAGATACAATACTATTTTCTCAGAAAATGCCATTGCTGATGTGTGGGTTAGAAGCACGGCGTTTTTTTCTTTTTTTTTTTTTTGTTTGGAAACATTGCTGTCAGGTAGAATGTTTTGTGGAGTAACAGCTACATTTTCTATTTCGTACCAATGTTCTAGGAACTGTTTTCAGCACTATCCAGGGCCACATCATGTCCCTGTTGCTGCCACCTCATGTCTCTATTGGCAGCAATGATCTGCAACTCTAGGAAATGCTAAATTTAACGTTATTCCAAGCTATGTCTTCCTGATTTCTAAGATATGACTTAGAACACTTTTTTTATGGAAAAACAGCTGTTTCTTGGAGTACCATTTTTTCCGATATAGCACTGATGTATTGCCGTTTTCTAGAGCAACGACAACTAAGCCAAACAGATGCTTTGTTGCTGCGATGTAGGAATAGCGGAGCCACGCATCACTCAACTGTTGGGAAAAATACACCCCTGATGCTGGAAAACTCACCTTTTTGATGTTTGGAGCGGTGGTGAGTTGCATGCTTTATTATTAGGTGTAGCTGTTTCTTATTGATTTTCCCCAAAAATGATCAAATCAAGCATGATTTTTTACCATTAAACTTCAAATGCCTTCATGGCACCTACGTGTACTTGAAACGGCATCCAACACCACGACTTTGGAGAAGTGCAAACCAGCTGCGAATTGGATTGGCTGATCAAATTGGTGAACCATAATCCACCCGAACTTTATAGAGTCTTATCTATTATGGTTGTGCGACAATTTTTATGGGTTAAATAATTTAACCTCTTATTCTATCCACCAAAATATCCACTAAAAGACATCTTTTGAAACCGGTGGATTGGAAATTTTTTACAACTTTTGCATAGGAAGTTAGGAATATATAAAACATTGCAAATCAAAAAAAAAAAAGAAAGAAGACATTTTCATTGGGATTTTTCTTTCTTTCAATTCACAAAAGACAGTTATGGTGATAGGGATTCAATAAATTCTAGAATTAGTCAAGGGAGTCTCTGTAGTTCATTAGTTCCACCCAAAAGCCGGCTCTGGATCTAATAGTCACACTCTTGTAAGGACACTCATCGATACTCAATAAATTCTCTTATGAGTATATTTAATACAAAAAGAGAGAGAGAATAAGCAAAGAATCATGGTTTCTAAAAGTGAATTGGTGACCGAACTGATAAGGGTTCGGTTATCGGTTTGATCGGTCAGACCATTTGATTTAAACGGCTGGTCTGTTTTAATAAAAAAAAATTAAAAAAATTAGAAAATGATCAAAACCATTCAAATGGTTAATCAGCTGGTTCAGCGATTTATTGATCAAAATTAACAGTTTTAGTAAAAAACGGAACTGGTCAGATGACCGATTCCCAATTTTTCCAATCCGACCATTTGGTCCGTACGATCTTAAAAACCATACAAAGAACAATGTACAGGAATTGTTGGTGTGAGGAGCAGATCCGGACTCCCTGTACAGTGGGTTGCAAAACTCAATCAGGAGAAAACAAGTATTCCAGCTAGGTCCTGATAGTTGACTCTGGTTGACTCGGGTTCGGATGAATTGGATCTACGCTAAGAAGACAAGACGTGTATAATGGCTTTTTATGGAAAAGTATGAGCAAACCTAATGCCGATTTATGAATATAAATATTTAAAATGGCAATAATTTACATTCTAAGCATCAATGCCCATTCTTAAATTGACATTAATTCCGAGCTGATACTTAAGCCTATAAATTCTGACTCTAAACAGAAGTGTTATTCCCCCAAATAAAAAATTATTTGAACATGTTCCAACATAGCCCATATCCATACAATGATGGATTCTAGTTTCATGATGGTATGATCACAAATCATGTTGGAATCATGTTAAAACAATTTTTATTATGAATAAATCCCAGATCAAACCTAGAAGTGATGAACTCATCACCAACTTGATTAGACAATACGAATGCGGGTTTTATTGTAAATTGACTCACATGAGAAAAAGGTGGCATGTGGCCTCCAATGATACAAGGTTATACCAGCGTTTAGTTAAAATAAAATGCCAACAACAAAAACATTACAAGACATAAGATTTTGAACCCCAAAAGGAAATAAAATGATCATCCAAGAAAACATCACTCCCCCATTGATTTGGTCCAAGAAAATAGCATCTATCTTTCTTTCCCTATTGTTTCAGTCTATCTATCACTGAGTCTAGATCTCCTCCCAATAAAAAACAGTTCCAACACAATTCCAATACTATGTCTGCATCAAGGCCGATATGTATCATGTCGGTAACTTTCCGATATGTCCTTACAGAAGTTGTATTGGGTCAGTCACTGGTTCAGAGGGTAGCTGGGCCTTAAACCGGTCCCTCTAAATAAATTTCAAAAAACAAGTAAAACTAAAAAAAAATGCATTGATACACAGTATATCAGCGAGTGTCAGTACTTTGAACCCTCAGTTAGAAGTACAATTTGGATAAATTTGAATTGGGCTTTTGTCAAATTTTGAATGGACTTAATCTAAAACATGTATAATGAACACAAATTGCACTCAATCTCACCATAAAACTAGGACCCACGATGTCTAATATATGTGGACAAGGGTCATGAGGGGTCTTCCGTGAAAGGGAAATTAGAAAATGAAATGGCTGATAGGCCAAAAATCCAAGAAAACATCCAGAAAAAGCGCGTAGAAGAAATATTTCAAGAAATTATGGTGTCGTGTAATAAAGTTCGGTGAAAGAGATCAAGAAAACGAAATGAGTCAAGGATAGAAGAAAAAGACTTATAGAAAGGGCAAAAGAAAATGATAGAAAAAGGAAATTCTAAGCTCCACCCAGTTACCCAATTTAGATTGTGTGATGGCATTGTCTTGATTTTATATCATCATATAATTTCCCAGAAATTATATGATCAGCGCTATATAGGATCCATATTAGAATTTGAAGAATTAGTGATTTTTTTTTTTTTTTTTGGTTGGTCAATATGTCAATTTCTGGGAAATCAGTCAAAAATCGATTATTGAAATCAGCACTTTTCAAGATCACATTTTCTGGTGATTTCCTTATTTTTAACTAACTCCCATTTTTTGAGGATGACATGACATCCAACATGGCATTCAATAATAACTCTAATAAAAAAATAATTGACCCTTAAAAATCAGTACCAAGCAGACTCAAAGCCAATTTCTCAAAAATCAGCTTACGTGGCATAAATGACACTAAACAATATTTTTTGATGATTTTTCAAAATTCGTTGATTCTAGAAATCACCGATTTCTAGATAATCGAAAAAAAGAAATCATCATCGATGCCAAACATCACCTTAATTTAGAACATAATCAATAATAGGAATGCTTCTTTTGGTTCTGCAATGTTTCCACAAGAAAAATATATTTTTCGTTTACACATGTATTGAATAGAATTTAAAGTGCTAATATGTTTTATTAAAAGAAATTAATGTTCCAACTAAAATCTGAATTCCACGTACGAGCCATTTGAGCGGTGCAGTACAATTATAGCCCCCTCCCCAAATTTGGTGGTAGGTGGATTTGAATCCCCATTTCTACTGCAAAAACTGGCTAACATACCAACTTAGCCACAAGGGTTAAAGCCATCAGTCCAGAAAAAATATGCAAAATTTGTTGATGTATAGAATTTTTTGTATTTGATTGCACTCAAATTATGAATACATATAAAAAAGGGTTCAACTACACTCGGGAGGAGGGGTGTCAAAGTTTTTTGGCATTATATAGAAATTACCATACAAAAATGATAAATTACAGAATACCACTCTGT